ATCCCCCTGTGAGAAGGTGCTGCCTGTGCAGAAAGGACAGTGTGGGTCAGTTAACACACACTGCGCTGAACTGCGGCTCTTACTGATGCACCTGGCTGCAAGCTGTGGGAGGTAAGAGGTGTTTCTCTCCCCCTTCCTCCACTTCTGGGAGTGGGAATTTCTGAGAAGAACAGAGTGGTAAGGATGGACACGAGGGAAGGATGGACACAGGGTAAGGATGGACACGGGGTAAAGACGGACACAAGGTAAGGATGGATGAAGTGGTAACCTCGCCTCCTGCCACAGCTAAAGCTGACTGTGAGTAAAATAGCCCTGGGTCTCAGTGAAAGGTCAGGAAACATGTTGAAAGAGGCTGGGAAGCTGTATGGCAGCTTTCCAAAGCAACGTCCATAACGTTATTGCAATCACTTTTACTGTCACAGTCTCATGTCCCACCTTGCAGAGGGGCAAAGGGCAGTTACCTGCTAAGCAATGTTGTAGCAGAAACTCCTTCCCGCTGCCCCCAGCCACCACCTCACACGGCACACCTTACACGGGACACAGCGCCAAGACGCGGCAGCAGCTAGCGTGCAGGTCACCGAGGCAGGAAAACTAACTTTGGCTATTCCCATCAAAAGCGGCATCCCTACAAGCGTGCGAGTTTCAAAGGCACAGCACTATGCATGGAAGGAAACTGCCTGGAAAACAGCCCAGAGCAGGGCAGGAGGTGGAGCTTAAGTCTGGTAGGGTTCAGGTCATCATGCTCAGGGGTGTGCTATTCCCCGCATTTCTGCGAAGAAACAGTCTGCCGATTTTTTCTCTCATGAGCAAGTCCTTTTAAGAGATGTTACTGTGCAGCCAATAAAGCAGCTTCCTGCTCCCTGACTGCTGCTCCTACCTACTCACACAGTATCATAAATAATAATGTTGGGGAAGAGAGGAGGAGGCGGCTTTTTAGTGAGCCTTTTCTCCATCCCTTCCTCTCTCAACCATCACAAGGCATTCATCAGGCAGGACACTAACGGAGAAACATGACCGAGCTCAAGGCCCCAGTAACGTCCAGAGCAGCTTTTTTATAAACCGCGTAGGTTCAATAAGCAGATACTTGGCAGGATGGTTTGGGCTGTCTCAGAAATCCCAGCACCTCTCTGAAAGGGGCCTTTCTCACTCTTGCCCCTGCTACCCAAAACAGTTGTTATGTTTCTGAAATCTGCTCTTCCCTTTGGCATCCCATGTATTTCTCATCCCCCAAATCTGCTCTTCCCTTTGGCATCCCATGTATTTCTCATCCCCCAAGCAGCACTCTGCTCATTGCATTCATGCAACTCATATTCAGAAGCGCCAGTTCTGCAAGAGGCTCTGCTCTGGCATATTTATATTTAGCTAGAGCATGAAACGCCTATGAAAGAAGGGCGAGGGAAAAGGGAGACTCTTCTGTGTCTTTTCACTAATGGTTTGCTTTGAGGATAGGCAATGATAGCACATACCTCTTTTCACTCACAGATCTAAAAGCACTTTATACACTGGTGGGCAAATAACACTAATGGCCCCTTTTACAAAAGGCTTAAGGTGGGACTTTCAAACGAGTTACCCTGCTCCCACTGAATTTCGTGGAGGCCTGGATGCATAACTGGAGGCCTGCCTTGAATTCCCAGCTGCTGAGATCCACCCGAAGCTCAGGACAAGGCAATGGCAGGGCTCTGAACCGACATCTCACCGAGTCCCCAGGCTTGCAAGCATTTATGCGTGTGTTTGCAAATCTTGTGTCTCAGTCTGACAGCCTAGCCACTGGGTCATGCTACCCCTGGTTAATTATTCAATGGCTACTAACCTCAATACGTGGTGGAGTGAGGGAAAAATAAAATACAAATAAAATATAAAAATACCTGGTAATACAACTAAACCAGTTCCGCATCTCTTGCATCGTTTGGTAAGTATGGAACAAATAACACAGTAATACAGAAATGTATTTTGGTCAAAGTAAGCAATCAATATTTTTTGATAAAATACATTCTATACACATGTAAATTCAATTTTCTATGTATAAAATTCCAGTTTATTCTCAGTGCTGCCTGGTCATGCTTCAGTTCAGCAGCAGCGCTCAACACATTCGACTCCCAGCAAAGTGGGAGGGGACAAGAGTGCTCAGCTCTCTGCAGGACCAAGCCTCACGCATCCCCTGGAGCGCCCTGTCCTGCGGGTCCCGTTTGAACAAAATCTCCCTGGCTTCAGCGGGAATTTTGCAGAGGTGAGCGCTGCAGAAGGGCCCCCCGGCTGTCCAGCACTTGCAGTCTGGTGTGGCAGTCACCCAAATGGCGTATGGCATTCCAAAAAAAAAGTGAGTTAGTGAATACAGAAAATAATGTATCTACATAATTTACAGCGTTACGTTTACTCGCAACCATATTAATGCTCAACCGCTCATTAACAATTCAATCAATATGCAGGGAAAGGTAGCAAAGTGCAGTACGTATTACAACCTCCTGTACGCAATTACAAGCACTGGATCTTACAGTCTTTCCTCATTTCATGAATTCCTGCCTATCCTGCTGCCACCCAGAGCCCAATTCTCCATTGAGCCTTGTGGAGTCAATCCTTCACAGCACCCAGGCCAGTTCAGATTGCATCCACGCCTCCGCCACCGGCCCCTAACGCCGTGCAAGGGGTGCAAGGCGCCTTTGGCTGCGGGTCCTCAGCTACCACCCATGTCCACCCCTGCACCCTCCCCTCTGTTGTGCCGGCGCTCGTCTGTGCAGTCACGCGCTGAACCAGATGGTGGGACTGATCCGGCTGGAAAACTGCCTGTCTGTAAAAAGGCAGAGGGTTATTTCCCAGCCAGACCGACCCCGCAGCCCAGCTCACGATGCAGCCGTGCCCGGGGCTTGCGCAGGTGTGCGTGTGGGTGCATGCACGTGCGTGTCGGTGCCAGCTGCACCTAAGCCAAACAAGTGGCTAGCGAGTGGCTAGCAAACCTGAACGGCAGGACTTTGCCTCCAGCTTGCGCTACTGTAAATTATGTATTGCATTACGTTACAGCAGAGGAAAGTCAGCCCCAAAAGATCTACTTGTATGAGCCGCAACCAAAGGATTGGAAGCTACGAAGAAAAAGGTTCTCCCGAAGCAAGGCTCTGTTTAAGGTTATGGCATCTGTTTTACCTGGAGAGGAAAGAAAAACTTAGGGACTTAAAGCAGGGGTGGAAACCACTGTTCTTACACTTTATTTTAGTAAGCAAAAAGCCTATTGCTGCTGTACAGTGTTATACAATGAACTGCCACGGTTTTCACGTCACTAGTCCATAGAAAATGTGCTGCGACTACCATGTTTATGCCTGCATGCTGAAAGAATGTACAAAGTTGCATTAAGCTCTTTCTCTTCCACTTTTTTTGGATATTCTTAAACTCTGACTTTTACAGTGTTGCAGACACTTCTGTGCATACTCAGGTACCACACACCATCCCAGTTATGGAACGTCTTTGCCCCAGACTGGAAAAATCAAGTACTATGCATCTCTCAAGCCATCATCAGAAATGTAAACCACCAAGAAAACTTGCTCTCTTAAGTAACCTTGAAAAAAAAGTCTTTAAAAAATCTATTGAAAAGGAGACATCGCTAACAACAGGGTTTTCAAAATGGTGCGAGTTGTTTCTAGGAGTTGTCCAAGCATTTCCTCTTCACTCACTTTTTGTTTTTATAAAGCTAATTCTGTATAAAAGGGCTTTTGAAGCGTGTGACTTTCATTTCACGATTTTTAAAAAATTGGAAAAAAGGAGTAAATTTAGAAACATTTTGCTCGATTGTGGAAAACAGCTATATTAAAACAGAATCCCCTTTGCTTCTCATATTTTCAGTACAAAAGGCAAGTAAATAAAGAGACCCTGCATCTTCACAGTCTAGCACTCATCCGAGTCACTTAAATCTATGCAAAATAGGTATAAAATATGAGGGGTCGTCTTCTCCTTTACACCAAGACCCCTCCAAGTCTCTCTGGGCAGCAAGTCCCCAGCTAAGTAAAACCTCACTAGTTTTTTTATCAGCCAAAGTAGTAGTATTTTAGCTCCCCTCCAACGAGGTGTAAATGCCCAGACTAGCTCAAAGACCCAGGGAGAGAAACAGGTCCAGCATAATTTTAAGAGCCAGGTGCTGGTTTATACCCTTATGGCTTCAAAGTTAAGTTGCACTTCAATTCACGATACCGTGAGGTTTGAGTAGTAATTTAGCAGTGTATTAAAAACAGCAAAGCTTAAAGTTGGTTGTCATGCAGAAGTGGGATAGGTGATGGCTATTTTTTAATTCATTTGTACGAAAGCAGCATTTGGCTTTGGATCAAATGGTGTTGAAGTAGCAGGGTTGGTTATAACGTGTACTGCTGATACTAATTACTCCCAGTTATTAATGCAGCACTTGTAAACTCAATTGTCAGTAAAACAACATTAATATATCTGACACCAATACTCCCCTGGATTTTCCGCTTCCCATTATTTTTGTTAAGCCTTCATGTGCACTTCTGCAGTACTGACCACTATTAAACTAGTGTTTTTCAGGAGAAATCTCTCCAAGTTTGGTACTTTGTCAAAAACCATAGCTGTAGAACTAAAAAGAAAAGCACAGGTCGCGTTTGCTCTCTGCGCTGGTTTCCTCGGAAAGGTCACCAGTGAGGACTCGGCACTCTCACCTCATGCTTCCTACAGTCACGGTACTCTACATTTATGTCAGTGAACGCTACTCTCGAACACAAATCAAAGAGACAAGTCAGCAACAAAACTACTTCTAGACTGGTAACGGCAGAATGCTACCAAGACAACTCCATAGAAAACCCATTGAAGCAGGAGCAAAATTCAGGTTACTTCTTAGCAAAGCTCATCACAGATTTTTTTTTTTTTTTTTTTTAAACTGTTTTGTAAAACTTTTATCCTGGGAGCCAGATATCCCCATGTGATGCGCTAATTCGAACAGGCTAACGTGGGACCACCTGACCCCACCTGGTACCAAAGGCTTCTGAATTTTTTAGCTTCTCAGAAAATCACTGCTGACTGACACCCATCTGTTGGTGATCGGCTTCTGGTTCCTCTTCTTCCACATCTGCGTTATATTCTTCAAATGCATCATCATCAACATCTGGAAGCCCAAGTAACTACAAAGAAGAGAAAATACTGTGTAATAGCGAATTACCCGCTCGTGCAGCTTCACTGCAAATCTTCACACAATACCTCGGTGCCGCTTCTTGAAAACCTCAAACCCTGGAATAACAGTATTGCATAACGATCTCGACTCTCTTTCTCTCCCTCCTGTGACAGAGAAAGATTTGAAAATGCATCCTCACACCAAATTAAGTGCTCAGAGACCAGAAGATAAATAAAACCAAAGCAAAGCACTTGCAAAAAGCTTCACGTTCTTCCCTGAGGTCATATCACGAATTGTTGAGTGTTTAGACTTGGCAGTGGTTTAACTTCAGAAAGAAATGTGATAATACTGTAGCAGTAGTTATCTCGGTTTAAGATTGTGTTCGGCAACCCTACAAAAGCCAAAGAAGAAAGCATCCTCGTGCAGAACTGGCTAGTATGGAGTAGGCAAGGAGTCCCTAAAAACCTAAAGATCCCACCATGTTAAGTGCTTCTCTTTTACCCTTCACTCCATCACACCAGACGAAGCCTTGCACGCTGGGTGAAGCCCTCGCAGTGAGAAATACTGCGTATTCAACTCAAAATTGCCCAAGTCCCTTTAAATTTCTGCAAATTAGATTTGGGCTTGTGAAGAACGGCCAGCCCATCTTCCTTGTACGATGTCTGGATGCCTTCACCTGATGGCTCCGATCACTGCAACGGCACTTGTTCGCTACAGGAAAAGGAGCAAACAGCGACGTTTGAACTTTTCCCCTCTCCTCCAAAAGGTTGCCAAGCCAACAGAAGTCAGGAAGACAGATAAACCAAGTAATAGTCAAAATAATGCATCTGTTGTGGAAATCTCATATTAGAATCCTCCACTAGCAGCTATTAATATCCACAAAGCAAAATCACACGCCAGGCATTATTGGGAATACCACGTATTCAGCTTGCCAGGGCTGGAAGCGCAGTACAGATGCATGCAACACTCTGTTTGGAGAGTGACGCAGCTGTTAGCTCTCACAAGAGGCAAAACCCAGAAAAATCAGGAGGAGAGTGACACTTGTTAGGTGGTAGCATGCAAATGAGAAGGCTGTGACGAGGCAGATTTTTAGGGACCTAAACTAATTTAGTCTGTGATCAACGTTCAAAATTATTCAGTGGGTACAAAGACAATGCACAGAATTAGCCTCTGGGTCCAATAAAGCTTGTATTCCTCACTGCCACTGGGAGAAAAAACAGCTTTTTAGTTGCAGGGTTTCTTCGACAGGGAAATGGAAGGAGAATTTGCTGACTAAACCCCCTCCTTCGCATTTTAAAAATACTTACAGAGAGACCCCAAGCTGAAAATGTTCTTGTTTTCTGAGCAGAACAAAGAGTAAATATTCCTATGCATACATATTTTTCAAATCAAATGCTTAACTGAACGTGAAACCACTTGGTTCATTTTCAGGATGCGGGGGTTTTGTTTTATGTTGAAGCTAAAATTAAAATACTCAGTTTTTAAAATGCAAAAGCAAGGCCTCTAGGCTTTCTTATCCACCAGTATTATTTTCGCTAAACTGATTTGGTGTATTCAAATTAAATGTGAGTGTTGTACTGCTCCGTTTATATCACCCAGCCAAAAGAGCTTTGATCACATTCTTTTTGCCCAGCTCTGGTTATAATTCCTCCTTGACTTGCAGGGAAATGAGCCACGTGAGTCTTCATTTCATGGGATACTGTAAGCCTTTCCCATGCAAAATCAGCATGGAAAACACAACAGACACCACGAGAACCGCAAAGCCGCGCACAATCCCAAAGGATGGGGAGCACATCCTGCTTTTCGCACATCCCCTCTCCCTTCGCCGTCGGGAAACCCAGCTCTCCTCTCCCTGGCGCAGCGTAAATCGAAGAGTGATGCCACTGACGTTAGCGGTTTTACAGAGCATAGGAAGGATGGGGATGGGATGGGATGGGATGGGATGGGATGGGATGGGATGGGATGGGATGGGATGTTCCTCTAAGAGAGGACACTTTAGGATCTTCCAAGGCACCGAGGACCTCAACCATGCAGGTCCTGCTTTTAGGGGTCGTGTCTTGTCACTTCCCACAGGACTACGGTCCCTCACCGCTGTTAACCCTTACTGCTCTCTGGACTGCAGTGACAGATCAGCCCACACCTTGACCCCAAGGAAGGAGGATCAGGGTCCAAAGTGCAGAGAGCTCTACAAACATTGGGTCAAAGCAGAAGGAGGGTGTATAAAAGATGAGGACAAAATAAGATGATGAAGGTGGCTTGAGTTGACCCTAGACCGACTCCCACCTTCTCTTCTTTCAAAAACACTAGTTTCTGCTTCTAGTCTGTATCTACCTCATAGATTAAAGTACCAGCTATGTGGCAGACTTGAAAGGACTTTAACGGAGAGCGAAAACAAGGAGGAAAGAGGTAAGACAGGAAAGGGGTTTAGAAAGAGAGAGCTGATCCATCAGCCAAACAGCCAAGGGGAACAAAACTGCCAGATGGGGACGCGTGGGGGACAGGAGGGTGGTGAGGAGGGAGGGAGGGCAACAACCAGCGGCGCCAAACTACCCATCTGGAGGTAAAGGAGCGGTCACTGGGACATGTATGAATTCAATGAATATGGGATAAATGGCTTTTACGCTGCAGACTGCCCAGTTCAGATGTAGCTTTTCAGGCTGAAGGTGAGCTCAATGCAGGAGCCCTGGAATTTGCTGCTGAATTGTATGACTTGTGTGTTGGTTCTCTGCAAACTCTGCCAGTTGGTGTGATGTCCCTCAGGCATTTTTATTTTTTATTTGCCTTACTTTCCTAACTCTTTCAAAGTACCCTGATTTTATACAAATAACCTAGTAGTTTTTAAGTCACAAAAGCAGAGTGACATTGCCTCCTACCAAAAGCTGACATACAAGCACACTGAAAAATAAACCAAATACAAGACTGAGCTTTAGCAGTCCACACGATGCTACACTAGAGATAACGTGATCTGTCGAATCCCGGTGTGAAGGGCTTAGTCTCCAGGCAGATGTGCTTTCAAGCACCAGCATGGACACTTCTGGCACCAGAGAGACAAGGGTGTTGGAGGAGCTGGGATGCTCTGAGGCAAATAGTGGTATTTGAGCCCAGTGCTATTGATAGCACTTCATGTACCTGCTGGTGTCTGGCATTTTTGGATGCTCCCTGAATAAGTGGATAATAAGGCGAATCACACAGTTTTGTGGAAACCAACCCAGGAAGGCAGTAACGGGCAGAGACAACATGCCCCCCGCCACCTTCAGCAAAGAAATAGCTTGACCTTGTCCACAGCAGGATTTAGAAGTGCGGTTTAGCTGTCACAGGTTAACCAACACTTTTTAAAAGCCTCGTCTAAATAAACATCCTGCCCTGGTGCTGTGTTTATGCCCATAAAATGTAAGGGAGAGATGCCTGAGAGCAGTAAGGGCTGATGAGCAGCCCCCAGACCGCCCTTGTTGCCTCCTGCACCCAGGGAAGAGCAGCGAGCAGAAGGAATTCTCTGTCTCTCACTGAGAGGGACGCTAACCACTGGGCATCCCCGCTCTCACCGCCTCCGAAACACGGGGCCCGTAGCGTGAGCAGCCAGTCCCTTCCCACGCCGCAGCCACAGGGTAAGCCTGCGGAGACACAGCTGGGCTGTTACCATGAATGCGTGGAGCAGGGCTGAGATGAGTTACTGGGCGAAAATCGGTCTGGGAGCCTTCAGTTAAAGGAGGGCAGGTGCTCATGCTGTGCACGAGGGCATGGAGAGCTGCTGATGCACCACCAACGTCTCTTCCTAAACATTTCCCTCCAAAGGACCCCGACAAAGACTTTCAAAACTGTCTAATAATCTTGGATGTCTGGCTGGAAATACCAAAATGGGAAAGACTTTCAGAAGGTACTGTACTCGGCACTGGTGAGGCCGCACCTCGAATACTGTGTTCAGTTTTGGGCCCCTCACTACAGGAAGGACATTGAGGTGCTGGAGCGTGTCCAGAGAAGGGCAACGAAGCTGGTGAAGGGTCTGGAGAACAAGTCTTATGAGGAGCGGCTGAGGGAACTGGGGTTGTTTAGCCTGGAGAAGAGGAGGCTGAGGGGAGACCTCATCGCGCTCTACAACTACCTGAAAGGAGGTTGTAGCGAGGTGGGGGTTGGTCTCTTCTCCCAAGTAACTGGCGATAGGACGAGAGGAAACGGCCTCAAGTTGCGCCAAGGGAGGTTTAGACTGGACATTAGGAAAAATTTCTTTACTGAACGAGTGGTCAGGCCTTGGAACAGGCTGCCAAGCGAAGTGATGGAGTCACCATCCCTGGAGGTATTCAAAAGACGTGTAGATGAGGCGCTTAGGGACATGGTTTAGTGGGTATGGTAGTGTTGGGTTGGACTCGATGATCCTAAAGGTCTTTTCCAACCTTAATGATTCTATGATTCTAAGGTGCTTACCAAGCACATGCTAAAAACCTGGCCCCTCCTCAGCGTCTCAAACTGAGTAGCCAGGACCATCAGATGCTTCAGAAGAGCCTGGTCTGACCTTCAGCACCAGTTTTTCCTAAACTGCCATTTTTCAAACTGAAATTTGCCAGACCGGTCTCCGACAGCAGACTCGGTTGGGATAGTGGAGAAGAAATGCCCTGCAAATGCACTGTTACCTCCACGCTCACAGCAAGGTGGTTTCATTAGCAAAACAGGTCCAGCAGAGAAAGGATGGGGAACAGCGTGAAGTAATGCCAAGGAAATAATTTCCCCATATTGATGAAAAGTGGTTTTGTTCTCGCAAAGGCCTGAGGGTGTAAAATAACTGTTTCCATACATCTATTGTAACACCCTTCCCTTTTTAAAACCTCTCCTACCACGCATGTGCTATTTTTAATAATTACAATAAGGGGAAAATGTCAATACATTCCTTATTAGACTTGTCTACACACAACCATACCTTGAATGATAAAACCGGTTTTGTTACGCTGATGCAAATCACTGAATACTAGGTCAAAGGAGAATCTGAGAAACTTAATCTTTGTGACACATCCAAGAGAAAATGAAGAGGTACTTGACTACAGTCTGCAAGAGGTCTTTGACAACTGAGGACACTGTTCTTGAGCAGACAAAAGCATAATGAAATTCAACAGGAAGCAAAACTAGAAAAATGCAGATTGTAAATAAAAGCTTTTCACAGGATCATAACTAATGATGAGAAGAAAAAGTGCCCAGTAACGTTGTAGCCTTTAAGTCACCTGAAGACCTTACATCATGAATGGGTGTCTTTGGAAAGGGTACGCTACAGCTCAACCACAATTTATGCGCTCGGTGGTAGGAATCATGGGGTGAAATGTGATGTATTAACGAAGGGCCCAGGCTAAATGAACATAATGGTTCCCCTTGCTTTGAACCTTTTTATTCTGAAGAGTAGCTTAACTTGGTTTGACTGAAGCCAATTTCTCAGCAACTTAAGCTATGCTGAAATAAATGTGGTTTAAATGAAGTAAGTGATCTGTACCAATTTAATTAAGTCTTTTTGAAGTCCTCTTTAGTTAAACCAATGGAAGTTTCTCCTCAAAGACACAGCTTTTCTGAGACGGAGAAAACAGCTATGAAGATCCAAGAGCCAAATACTGTTCTGGGAAACATATTTATATTTTTGTATGTTTTCACAATTACAAGCAGCTGTACTGACGGATCAGATTTCCAGTCCTTTCTAAGAAAAGTGTGCATCTGTTCTATTTATTTCCAGTCTCTCAAAGGATTCTTTAGAACGATGCTCTCGTATGTCGACCAGCTGCAGCGGTCTGCGGCAAGGCAATGCAAGGGTGTAACGCAGGGAGGGCCGGTGTTTTCATATTGGCGCTCCAGGCCCTCCCTTTCGTGCTAAATACTTGGGATACATTTTCAGTCTTCTTGATTAGTCAGCCAGAAAAAGAGAGGAGGGAAAAAGATCCACATTTTCAGTTGAGTTTAAAAACGTCCATCGGTCAGCTTTCCCATGGATATCACGGGAGCACGGCTCTGGCAACAAACCTCTGCTCTGCTGTGCACCAGCCCCTTACCCAGCCCAAGGCTCTCAAAAGGAGAGGCTGTGCAACGGGAGGATTTGGCAAAAATGAAGGACAACAGCCAGCTTAAGCCACCTCACCCCAATGCAACCCAGGCTTTGACCAAAATCTTAGTGTTAAACAAGGACAGAGAAAGCTGAGTAGCAGCAAAACAGAAAAATACACACCCCCTCCCCACAAAACCCAGCTTCTGCTCCAACCTCTTCTCAAGCAGTGACCAAACTGGCGTTTGCAAATACCAAGTGGCAACCATCCTAACAGCAAAATCTGGACCGCTTGGGAGAAACAAAAGCCAACCCTAAAATAAAACAAACCACTCTGAGGAGAAACCATATTTCCAGCTTCCCAGAGATTCACTCTCGCTACTCAGATCCTTGCAAAACTCCCCAATTCCAGTGCCAGGAAATAACTCTGCCACAAAGTCCCGCGGCGCTGACTCTCATCCCGTTCCTCGGAGTCAGCACTGCATCAGCAGGACGGGAGCCCCTGCGCAGCTGGGGAGCCCGCCTGCCGCACCAGTTGGCCTCCCACCCCGCGCGGGAATCTCATCCCCTCAAACGCAGAGATGGAAATAAAAAGGCAGCTGGCTTCCAAGGAACAACTTCCAATTGCCTGATAGTAGCTTACGTGCTAACACCCCTGCGCCCAGGCAGCTGACTGGAGATGTAAGTCCCTGCGGAAGAAAAGCCACCGTGCTCCATCCAGTGCTATCCTATTAAAAGTCACAGGTAATTGTCAATGTTTAGAAGTAGAAAAGAGGCACTTACGGGTCTGAAGGATTTGAAGACTTTTTCCAATATTTCATGGAGTGTCTTTTTCCCACAGGAGGAGATGTAATCCTGTGCGAGCTGCAGAAACGGTAAGCAGTCCTCACTTTCGCTCCACACGTGCTGAAAGCCAACAGCAACACATGAAAGAAAAGGCATTAACAGGAATTCACGCCAGCCTTTCCACGTGATTTTATACAGTGACACGTTGTAAACATCTGCCGAAGTACACTGGGCCTCCTGCAGTTCAGACCCGCACTGGGGACAGGCACTGCAGGCTGTTTCAGAAGCCATGCTTCTGAGGAGGAACCCTGATTTTACTAACACGATGCATCAGAAAGCAGGGAAATCAATCCAGAAGAGAAAACGCCTTATGACGGCACCAGCAATGAAGGGTAGGCACGCCTTGCACACGCGCATTTTACAAGTAAAGGTGTTTTCATTTGCCATCAGCCCAGCTCAGACCTGGAGGTCACGCTGGGTTTTCTCTTCTTCTGCATCACCCACTGCAATGAAGCCCTCAGGAAGAGCTAAAGCATCTCTTTTTGTCTTCCTGGCTTTAGTGCAAGTGTGATGCGACCCTGGAGGTGGAACTTGATGCATAATTCTCTTGATGATGCAGAAGAAAAGATGCAAAATATACCCGCAGGTTAGACACAGAGCCAAAGAGAGACATTTGGGCACTTACAGCATCCTGACACTTCATGCCTCCCTCCCTGTTTTGAGGTTTACTCCTCCTAGACCCAAATCTTCTCTTCTCGGGCGGGCACATTTAAACCCATTTGGGATATTCCTCTCGTCTTGCTCTTGCGTTGGACGTGCTGGTTCCCCAGCCTGGCTCTGTGAAGCCTCTCCCAGAACTGATGCTTATTCTGCTGCTACGAGGTTGTTTGAAAGAGCTGGTGAGCGATGGTGGAAGCACTCAGGCAACAATGCTTCTTGCACACAAGGGCAGCACGCAGCACAAGCTAATGCGTGCTTTTAAAGACCTTCTTTTTGAGGACTCTGTGCATGGGATTGGCTTAGGCAGTCTGCTACGCAGAGAAGCGTAATACTGCAAAATTGGTTTGAGACTCTTGTACCTCTATTTTTGCACAGCAGCTCTTTTCCCCAAAGTGCCGTGCAGCTTTTTATTGTGCTATAAACAGTAGGTAATGCTTAAACAAGGAAAGACGAGGGTCTCTCTGAAGCTTAACTTAGTCAGAACGGCAGATGTTTCAATCCCTAACATAAGGCTTGCACGTCGCATTCCTGTTCAGCGGAGAATACCTGCCAGGGATGCAGTTTCACACTTATTGAAAGAAAACACTACTTAACATCACCTAAGCTGCAGTTTTAAGACGGAAACTGTAACTGCCTTGCTATGAACCTCACTTGACCTACATTTTCTTTGCTTCTTGTTGCATTTTACAAGCATAAACATAGTGAAATATTTTGTTATAAAAAGAGCCCTGCCTTACTGAGTGGGTTCTGCTCTTTCCATATAACCAGAGTCATCTCTTAACCAGTCTGGCAATAAAAATAAGTTCTTTACTGACTTGCCAACTCTCAAAGGCACATACCACAAGTCTCATGATACTTCATGCCATCTCAGAGTCATGGGCCTTGTAGTCCTATAAATATACAACCAAATCTCAGCTTCTGTTTACAAAAAATAATAAACAAATGTCTGCACTTTGTGATTTCTATGGCCTAAAAAGGCAGAAGGTACATGAAGTGAACTCAAATGAACCCTCTCTAAAATATCAAACGAACACTTTCAAATCACAACATTTCAAGAACAGCCTCGAGATTTTGGAGGTCTGGCCCATGATTTCTTAATACTTGGGGTTAGCAATAACCGTTCGGTTACTTCTAATCTTTGCATCAAACTTAAGAGCTGGATATTGCAGCTTGGCAATTCATGGCTCGTGCTGAACCTGTTGTAATTGTTTATATGTATAAAACGATTATGACTGCTAACATCCTGATTCTTGTTTAAATTGTGGCTTCTTTTGACTACCAGCGCTATACACAGGAGCTTCCACACAAATGAAAATCAGGCCCTGCCCTTTTATAAATAATAGCTAGTTCGTTCCCCAGGGAAAGTTAACCCCATGTTGTTCTATCATGTTTCTACAGTCCCTTTTCAAGCTGCACCACGTTTTAGACTCCAGTGTGAATTTGTCAGCAGTAGCACAGAATATGATGATCTAGCACGAGGGGAAAACCTAAGTGAGTAACTTGATCCTTGAGCCTTTGAAGAGACTTTTTTGCATAGCATCGTAAGGCCATAAGCAAGTAAAGCTTTCAACAATTTCCACGTCTGCAGAAGATTTAAAAACTTTGGCTGTAGCAACAAACACACTATGAAAGGTCTCACGTGCCATTAGTGCACGCATCTCATTTGGAAATGGCTTGATTTCATCTCTCCCCCCCAAGAAAAATCCTTAACCGTAATAAGACCAGGGTTATAATACCTATATGCTCAGCTGCATCTACAGTTCTCTGTAGACATTCAGCTCTGCACCGTGGCAGCTGAGGAACTGAGTCTCACCACTGACTCACACATCTCCAGAGGAACCTGCACAAGGAATTTTGGCCTCTCAAAATAAAAACAAACGTAATTTGAGGATTCAGCTCTTGCTTAGAAAGTTAGAGCAGTCAGTGAGGCTGCACATACGGAGATGCTTTTCCTGGAAAAACCCTGATGCCTGAGAACCTCTTTGCAGTGGGAGAAGCAGGCTGCTGGCAAACCAGTGGACCACAGTGCTCGGCCGTGGCTGCGCAATTAAAAAAATATTAACCTCATCATCTGGGTATGTGTTTTCCAAGCTTGCCCAGTTTTGCTCACGGTTGCTTTGTGTCCCTGCAAAAGCACACAGCCACTAATTTCCACCTCAGCTGACCTAGGATCATGGTTGAATTATTTAGTTCAGCATCTACACACAGCACATAGCTGAGGCAATTCATAGGGTTGCATCTGGAGGGGTCCGCTTTTCCTCATGCCTTTAGATGATTCAATGTTGCTGGATGATAGAGCCACTTGCTGGACCACTGTTTTCTAACAGCCCACCTGTTGAGCATGGCAGCAAAACTTTTTCTTTGTGGGGATAATTCAACTTGAAGAAAACATTCAGAAAACCGACTCTGTTCTAAAATATTTTGCAAGAAATCTTGCATCAAGGTGGCATCATATTTTTATTTGCTTTATTGGTTACTTTGAATACCAGCAATAACACGGTGACAAAACAAATGACAGGCTATAAGGAATAGCATCACAACCCTCACCCTCATTGGTTATGGCTATATAAGTCCAATTAATTTTTTGAGAACACCATGAGCCTCAGGAGCTAAATTATATGTAGTTCAGCTATCTAAAATGTTGATTCAGAGAGTTTTAGCGTCCAGGTGGTAGTGAAAATGCCAACAGGCATCTAGATGGGCCTCTTGCATCCCTAGCATGTTAAAAACCTAGCGCAAAGATACCTTTACAGGAAATTAAAATTATATGATTGTTATGATCTGGAATCTCTGATTTTATATAAAATTCAGAGTTATTCTCCCCCAGATTGCATTTTGGCAACCTTTCCACATTTTTCTCCTCCTCCCTTTTAAGTTCATCATGCTCACCATTTTCTGCTTACAAGCGGGTTATCACAGACTTCTCTGGCACCTCCTACATAGCTTTTAAGTCGCATTATTACGAAATGAAGACATAAAGAAAGAGAACCAGGCACCAGATGTGAGGCTCCCTTATAAGAGTCACAGGGTGCAAAAAGGCTGTAAAGTGTGCCACTGTGAATTCTGTTTATATTTACTCACTTTCACACTCCATTGTGTTACTGGAGCCATGCAACAAGGCTCAAGTGCAAATGAGAATCAGTCCCCTGGCTTGTATTAAGTCTCCTTAAAATAAACTTCAGCCTGTAACTGCATGTAGAAAGGAAATTTATCTTCTGGAACATCAAAAAGAAAATGACTGCAAAAAACAAGACAGCCAAGCTGGGAGCAAGAATGAAGTCCCACAGTGCATTAGGAGCAGAAAACACGATGCTGGTGAATCAGCTCATTAGTGGTTCTTAATCGCATTAAAGATACACCATCAACAGGAAAAGAATTAAGAATGACACCTATCTGCCTGTCTTAAAAGTATTATTACTACAAAAAGTACCTCAAGTAATAATGCCAAAAAAAGACAGAAGAAAACACTGCTTCTAGTTTTCCACTGTTTACATTCTGCATTTGACAGGAGCTGGCCCTTCTGCTCAGTTTTACTACTGGCGGTTCTGGGCAGGCAGTCCTTCCCACAGCAACCCTGGAATGAAAATATTTGCCAAAAAAAAAAAAAAAGGGAAAATGTGGTTGCAAACCCACAAAAATTGGCCAGTGTTGGAAGCATGGGAATAGGGTCTGAAACTGCTGAAGATTTTTTTTAAAGTTGACTAGATTTTGTTTTGAAAGATTTCGCTCAATTATTGAGCAGCGTATAAAGAAACAATACATGTCTAAGAAAAATAATGACCTTTCTTTGCAATTTCCAGTATCATTAGCATCCAATCACAGCTTTAGCCTAGTCCTGCATTGGATTCGTACGTACCCCTGCTTAAGAGCCCAGCAGGCATAGCCCTTTCTGGGCACAGGCATCTCTAGAACGGAACGAGCGCCAGGGTTTGACAGGCTCATAGGTGCTGGGAAGATGGGTGTGCAGGGCTAGTCGCCCCGTGGACGGGGAGAATTCACACCCAGAGATGCTCCACTGCCACGGCTGGGACTGCGGCTGAAGGTCTTGTGTATCCCTGGACAGATGCATAACCAAACTCCAGATAACTTCTTTCATAATTCAGCATGACCATCTGCCTGACACAATAAATAAATAAATATCCTGCTCGCTGAGATTCGTGGTCTGGGAGAGGTCACTTCACTGCTCTTTGTTTCCATGAACCCATCTGTCAAATGGGTTCATACTGCACTTACCTGTTGGAAAGGGAATTAATGAACGTTTGTCAAGCAGGTCGAGGGATGAAAGTTGCTCCGGGAAGGGAAGGACCTACAACATTCCTACAATAACGGTCTGTGCTAGGAGCTATTTTTAAAAAAATAAAATAAAATCCTTTCACTGCAGTTAACTGGAGCTTTGCAGG